CACAGTCACTGATGTGGAGGTTGAGGGTGTGAACACCCACCAGTCCAATACAAGGTCAATGGTCAATTCAAAGTCAAGTCAGTTACCACTGGGCATCAAACTGGTGACGTTTTTGCTGTAAGGCATGGGTACTTAGCACTCCTCCACAGTGTGTAGCCTGACTTGACACCATTAAGTATATTTAAATTTTGCAGATCCCAGAACCGTGGTCGTGTGTTTTCTCACAATGGTGGGCAGGGCTCTGTGTTACACGGCTCCTCCTCCGCCACAGGTCTGGCTGCAGAATCACACTTCCTGTCTGGAACTTCCTCATTTGTGTGACGGTTTACACAGAGAATCACTCTGGACTGGGAACCTGCACGGACACAAACAGTGACAAGGACTTCACTGTCGCTGCCAGATACTGCACTTGCAGACTTCGTCCACAGGAGGGAGACATCACTCCATTAAATACAGTTTAAAAAAAACGAGTAGGCTCTGTTTGTGTTTGAACCGGTGACATGTCATCCTGTCAGGCACTGACCTTTACCGCAGGAGACAGAGCACTCTGTGAGTCCGCCTCTCCTCCACACAAACGGGGGCAGGGTGTCCAGGGGCAGGTCGGTGCGAGGGGGGATCCGGGCATTTCTGTTGGGGGCAGATCCCTGAGGGCGGACCCTGTCAGGTGTCCAGCGGTCCGGGGACGGGGGAGGGAACATGGAGGAGGAAGAGGAGGAGGAGGATAAAGAAGGGACAGAAACAGGAGGAGGAGCAGGAAGAGGATCTTCTACTGACACGATGATCGGACCTGAGAGAGAAGAGGAAGGTGACGAGATATTAGAACAGGTGGTCTAAATCTGAGGTCCCCAACCCTTTTTTTTGTACCACGGACCGATAGGCCGGTATCAGAACCAAGGGTTGAGAACCCCTGGTGTAAATAACATTATTATTAATCATCATGTGAAGGCTAACAGGTGATTGTTTTTAGGTTACATTTATTGTACAAGCACGCCCCCTGGTGGCTATTCAACATCAGAAACTGTCAAGTTTTTTTGTAGATTATTT